TAATGCTTCAGATCAGTGTCTGATTTTCTTTTATTGAAACAGAATTTGGAACTGTTGAAACTTATGACACTTAAGTTACTGTCTGTAATTAATGAGCACCAGATGCAAAATTTAATTATAAATATTTGCAAATAAACATCTATTTTTGAGGAATAGTGGTTCAGAGCCAATTTATAAAAATGTTTTCATAGCAATTAAGTGGTATATTGGTTTAAAACATGTTTTTTTCATAATTGGGATTAGGGTTGAAACAATAGAAAATTCATTTGAGTTGGTATCCATTGCTTGTGTCTATTGACAAATCTCTTTCAATTTGCACTTAATGTTTCAAAGACATTTTGCTAAGGATCGTAGGTTTCTTCCCTAATGTAGGGATAGTTACAGACCAAAACTAGTTTGCATAGTGTTTAAATGATAATGATGTTGAAACTTTTTGTTTAGGTTATAGTCTATTATTGTTTTCTAAATGCAGTGAACATTTAGCTTCAGGTATTACAGTGTGCTCTGTTTCACTTTCAACTACACTACAGTCCCAAAGTACAGTATAACTCGGCAAAAGTAGTGATACATACCCTGTGGTTGCTGATGTAGTTTTGTTCCCTGCCAAGACATGACCTGATTTCAGAATTCTTATTCTTGTCATAGAATCATAGAATCCCTACAGTGTGGAAGCAGACTGTTCGGCCCATCAAGATCACACAAACCCTCTGAAGACCATTCTGCTCAGACCCACCCCCTAAACTATCCCTGTAACTTTGCATTTCCCATACCTTAATTCACCTAGCCTGCACATCCCTGGACACTATGGGCAATTTTAGCATGGCCAATCCATCTAACCTGGATATCTTTTGGACTGTGGGAGGAAAGTGGAGCACCCGGAGGAAACTCATGCAGACATGGGGAGAATGTGCAAACTCCACACAACAAACACTGGAATTGAACCTAGGTGCCTGGTGATGTGAGGCATAAGAGCTAACTGCTGAGCCATCCTGCTGCCCCTTGTCTTCAGCTAACACCACCAACACCCATGCCATGGTCTCATTCCTTTCTATCTCTGTAATTTCCTCCAATCCCATGACCGTCCAAGATATCGGTGTTCCTGTCATTCTGGCCTCGTGCTTTCCTAAACCCCAGATCATGGCTGCATCACAGTTTACTGTGCCTTGAGTTGTCTGGGACCTTGGAATTCCCTCGCTACACATTTCTACCTCCCTTTTTTTTCTTTAAAATATACATTTGTCAAAAATCTAATATCTGCTTTTTGGTTGGAGTGTCATACTTTGTTTCATTTTGCTCCTTTGAAGTGTTTTGTTATAATAAAGGTGTCTTTTAAATACAAGTCATTTATTGTTGTGAAGCAAGACTAACTCTTTTAAAAATGTGTGCATGATGTAATCACAAAGATGATACGATAATTTATTGATTAATTCAAATGAGTTAAAAATGTAATTATGTAGTGAAAGGATTAATTTTGAAAATTGCAACTTCATTTTATTATTCATTGTGATATTCTAAATGACTTGCATAACATATATATTTTTAAAAGTCTTGTAAATTGTACCTAAATTAATCTACAACAACTATTTTAAAGGATTTAAATACCTAATGTTTGCTACATAGCTGGAAGTTACGTAAAACAAAAAGTTGTGTTCATCACTCACCTGTTTACATCATGTACTCAATTAGCACCCCGCCCGATCACCATTTTTCTGCCCTTGTTTTGAGGATTGTATTTCTTTCACTGTTTATTTCCGTATACGCTGGCAGATCTCTGAACAGTCGAGGCAGCTCATTTTGTCATTATTTGAGCCCAATTGTATTGTCTTCCAATTTGCATAATGTGTTTACGTGACCAAAATGAACAGTAATGGATAGCTTTAGACCACACTTATCTATATAGATTAAGTAACTGGGAGAGGCAATGGTCTAGTGGTATTATTTCTGGACTGTTAATCCAGAGATCTCAATAACGTTCTGGGGACCTGGGTTTGAATCCTGTAATGGCAGATGGTGGAATTCAGAATCTAATGATGCCCATGAATCCATTGTCGATTGTCAGGAAAATCCCACCTGGTTCACTAATGTCCTTACCTGGTCTGGCCTACATGTGACTCCAGACCCACAGCAATGTGGTTGACTCTGAACTGCCCTGTGGAAAATTATGGATGGACAATAAATGCTGTCTAGCCAGCGACATCCTCATCCCGTTAATGAATGAAAAAAACTGTTAGAAGTGCTGTTTGCAATGTTTGTTGACTGCTTTTATACACTACTAAATTGAATTGATACATGTTAAGGGCAACTTTAAATCAGGCCCCTTGGCACATCTCTAGTCTATCAAAATAGAAAGAATTGCAAATAAAATGTTATGAGCTTGATCAAAAATGCCATTGCCCTAACCATATCATCCAATCCACGGAAATCTCTTTAGGTATGTATGATGATTAATTATTAGCTTGATTTAATGCTGTCTGAAAAAAATACAAGTGTTCACCAATGCTTTGTATTGATTCCATCCAGCTGACATCATTAAGGATATTTAATGGTCATTTTCCCAACAACACAGTACTATTTGATTATCCCTTTGTATTGGCAGTTTCTCATTTCAGGTGTGAAAAATACTATTTTAAACTCTATTCTCGCATGCAAAGCCGCACATAGCCGTTTAAGTGCAGTCTTAGAATTTTAATAGCAACAAACGCTGTATGTTATAAATGAATTAAAATATATTACTCCTTCATGAAGTTTATATTTTTGTTGGCTTGTTAGTGAGCTACAGGTACATGTGGTTGACTTGGTTAATGAATAATCAAAATGACCAAACTGTGTTTACTTTTACCTATTGACGTTTTGTATTTAGGGCTTGATTTTTAATTCGGGGTCAGGAACTCAACACCTGGATAATTTCCCAGATGAGAACAACCTCATGATAAGATTGTCAAATGCAAATACCCACACTGAGCCTGATATTTGTGCACTAACAGATCACAAACTGTTCTGATTTGGCAATTTACAAGTTGAAAAATTTTTATTTGCCCTTTGCCTGTTGACTTCAATTGGAGGCAAATAAGTTGTCAACTCCTCCCTCAAATTGACTCTACTACACATACAAATTTTCATCAAGACACTGTCATGTCTTATGGAAGGACTGTTTTCAAAACTACTTCAAAGTTTCCCTCCAGTGAGAGGGAATCTTACCACTGATGCTTGGCGTTCAATGACATTACTATTGCTGGAGCTCCCTGATCAACCTTTCTGGAGGCCAGAAACTGAAGTAGAACAACCATACAAATATAATGGCTACAAGAGCAGTGTGGAGGCTTGGAATGCTGCAGAAAATATCTCATCTCCTGACTCTCCAAACCCTGTCCACAATTTACAAACTCAAATCAGGAATGTGATTGAGTACTCCCCACTTGCCTTGATGTGTGCTGCTCCAACCATATTCAAGAAGATTGACAACATCCAGAACAAAACAGCCAGCTTGATTGAGACCCATCCACCACCTTCAATGTTTATACCCTTCACCACCTAAGTGTAAAGTGTTGTGACTGTAAAATGTGTTGCAATGACTCAACCAGCCTCCATTGACAGCATCTTCCAAACCTGCAATCCCAATGACCTGTGGATGTATTGGAACATTGCCTAAATGTTCCCTTCCACTGCACACCACACCATCCTGACCTGAACTGTATTACCATTTCTTCACTGCTGGATTCTTTAGCATTCTGTGCGTTTTGTTTTAGATTTTCAGCATTGGCAATATTTTGCTTTTACTAGAGTGTAATGAATAGCTGTGTCTCGATTTATACCATTTCAGCACATTCTGGGCCAATTGATCTAGCCACTAACATGACCTCTAGTATCATGATAATTTTTGGCCTTCAGTGTGTGATTTCGGTTATTAGCTTATTGTCTGCCACAGAATGCTCTCAGCCTGCATATTTATTTGATTTGACCTCCATGTTCATGTGCTACTTCAGAATCACTGGTATTGGCCAACAAAAGTAAGCTTTTTATTAAGAATTCTTTACAACGTTCTATTATATTTCCAAACAGCTGATTCTGATATAATAAATCACTTCTTTTAACCCTTAGACTACTAGTGGCCCCAGTAGTTAATTTTCATACAAGTACAACTTCAGAATGTTGTTGAAATGCATAGACATAGCTACCTATAAAATAACGATAGGAATGTTACATACTTTCTACAAGTATATCCCACCCATATGCCTGCATATTAACCTATTATTGCCCATACAATAAGCACCTTGTTTTGAACACTTTGCAAATGCAGTTACATAACCAGCTTTGAAGAAATAAAGTTTGAAAAGAAACATTTTCTTAAATGGTACCTTAACTTATCAAAAATCAGCTGCTGCTGCATTTAGCTGCTAGATGTAGTCAGTCTGAGTCCAGTCATCACCATCAGCAATGCTATGGCCAACCACTTGAAGCACAATAAGTACGGTGGCGGTACTTGATCAGGTGCCACAGGTGGCAACAATGGTAAGGTTCAAAATGGGGCGTGAGTGAAAGCTTCCATCTTAGATGATGGGACTAAATTGGTATGTTAAAGTAAGTTTCTGCACATCATTGTTAGCCTGCTGTAATATCTGACTAAGATGCTGTTGGTTGAAACTTTCCCTGTTGTTTTGTAGTTATTCTCAAAAAGTCAGGAATTGCTTTACCATTGTCATAGCCAATTTATTAAACATAAAAACACATCTTTACTTTTATTTTCTCCCTTTTGTGTTAAAAGATTGTTTCTTGCACTTCGTTTTTGTTTGTTAAGAATTAACTTGTAAATATTTTATTTGTTTCCTCTGTGCCTCGCTAGACTTCCAAAAACTATATTTTCCTTGCACACTGAATCACTCTAAAAGATTGGGTTTTTAGTCAATTGTACAGCCGAAATGTGATTACTTCCCTGGTTAATTCTGATGTCCAAAGGGTTGTCAAACAAATACTGAGACCTGCTTACAAAAAGGTGGACTCACCCGTGGCCTCTGGAATCCAGCCAGTTGAATTTGTCTGAGGTTAAGTGTTAAAATTTTAATGACTTTTTGAAGCACAACATCTTTGATTCTTTCTTTGTGACCGTTCCGAAGTTAGTATGTTTGTAGAGGAACAAAACAGTAGTGTTGGCACTGTTCCAGAGGGCTTGACGCAAGCATTGTCATAATTTCAAATTGCGGCTTCTGATTGAACTTTTATTCGGCTGTTTTCCCATAGAAGCTGCTGATTAGCTCCCAATACAAGGCCAGGTATACAAAATAATTAACATAGATCTGACACCTGAAATGAACATTGCTATTAACCCAGCTGCGCAAATTCTTACTTTCCATAGTATTTATACTGTTGACCCTATAATCTTTTAAACCAGTAACTAGTTTGAAAATAGTTGTCAAAAGTAATGTGTTTCAGCATCTGCCCAAGGCAAGATTTATATGTAGGCACACCAGTCTGTGCTTGCTTTTGGAACTTGATAGAAGGTTCTACGCATTCAATATGCAGTGGGTGTGAAGGTTCCATACTCATGGAACTATTTTCCACAGCAACCTTCTGATAATGGGCACATTTCAGATAGGGAGGGAGAATTTTATGGTAAATAGTTGAAACTTCTGGGAAATGTTTTCAGTTGCCTTGTTTACCTAAGTACGTACTAATTGAGCGAGATTACTCTTTTACCTGTGATATTTAATGAAACACTGAATACCAGGGTCTTCTCACTGACCAATAATATTTAAGCACTAATATCCTCTGTTGTCTCGATTCAGCCCCATTAATGTTTTCATTATATTTTGTTGCTTCTGCTAATGACTGTAAATGGCTTCCTTTTTCTGAAAGCCCTTATCATCATTGAAAATAGTGACGGAAGAACGTTGACAGCAAAAATAAATTTTAATTACTTCAGTTTTCTGCTAAATGAATTTGTTCTTCTTGATTTTTTTTAATCTGCAAGTCAGCCTGAATAATAACTGAAGAGCAAATTAATTTGTCAAATAAATAGCAAAAATATTTGTCCACCTTGGAAAGGTGATAAATGTAGGAATGTAAGTAGAGCAGTAGCCTCACACAACCTAATGCTCTTGACAATGCTATTTTTAGGCTCTGAAAGACTGATCTCTCTGAACAATGGGATATGATATTTAACTTTGGCCCAAAGTGAGTGCAAAGTTGACAGAACACCCACAGACTTGCCTGAAATAGCATCAATGATCTTGGACATGTGTTGGACATGTTTGGGTTGGTCATCAGCATAATTCAGGCATGTTGTTAAATAATGAAAAGTGGTAGCAAACAACTTGCCACACAAGGGTGTGGCAATCTGATATCTCCATGGTTGAGTTGAGAAAGAGCAGAGTAGTAAAAGCAGGCAGTTGTGTGCTAACTAACAATCTGCCAGCAAACTTCAGTGTAGTGATAGGACATCAAGACTATTTCTGCTACTCCTAGGCCTTCAAAAATTCACCCCCAAGGGGCTCTGAATATATATCTTCAGAGATAGCTGGTGAGGCTGCTAACCACACTGTGCATGCTCCACCATTTGCACAGCTTCAGAAACCCTAAAGAAATGCAATTATGTGCTCTTGTGTTTTGTATTTAGAAGATTTTGTATTTCACATTTCTGAAGAATGTGGATCCTTGCATAACCTGACCAAGTAGGGGTGTTGGAAGAAGAGGCTTTGATGGGGTTGGGGGTTGGGGATTGGAAGGTTACACAGGGGTTTTGGGTGGAGGATAAAGCTGAAAGAAGTGAGAGAAGAAGGAGGCAACTGTAATGGGCCCAGGGGAGAAAAGTTGTAAAAGGGATTGAGAGGGGTGAAGTGGCAAGAAGGTGCTGAAGGCAAGAGGCTACAAAATTAGGAGAGAAAGGGTGGCTGCAAGGAGCAAGAACTGTTTTAAACCTGACGATACAGAAATACAAGCAATACAGAAAAACTTGAAATTACCATGATAATCAATTTCTTGCGAATGAACGTGAAATCTCGACCTTGAGATTCAGGAGCTGGGTGGGAAAATATTTAGTGGATGCTATTGTAATGAACGTATTACATCAATGGTTAAAAATTTGCAATTAACATCCGAGATGAAGTTAAAAGTATAGTAACTACCTGGTTAAAGTGTTCCAACTTTATATGGAAATACATTAAATGCATTTAGGATAATGGCTTTTTTTTGAGTAGAAATGTATGTCCACTTTTTTTTAAACTTGTTATTTTAAATCTGTTTTCTTGTGCCAGTTTAAATATTGCAGTATCTAGTAAATTATGCTTCCCTTGTATGTTGTGGCTTCAGATTTAATCGAGGGTTATAATTGAGGATATTGATGAATTCTAATTCTTCTTCTGACTCCAAATATCCCACAGGTCAATGCAATTACAGAAGGTATTGTTTCTAACTGACTGTATCACCCAATAAATGAATTAATGAGATTGGAAAAGGTACCCTGAGGACCAAACAGGAAATATTGATCCCATTAAAAAAAATTGTACCTTTTTAAGGTTCCTATAGAGATTTTTGCTTCTTTATTGTTCATTCAAATTAACAGTGAATTTTTTTTTTGCATCTGAAACTATATTGTAATCAAAGTACCAACTTGAATCAGAATTTTCAGACTCATTCCTGTGACAGTAACTAGTTATTAATAACAAAAACATTTTGAATCTGATAATGTTGGGATAAGGGGAAATGTTGAGTCCTGATATAGTTATCACTGTTTCTAAAAGTGAAATTTGGAGCAAGCAGTAAAATGTTAAGACTCCTTTTTTGAAAATAGTATTAAATTGTTTTGATTTTGGACAGACTGAACATATAGAAGTGAAGGTAGATTGGCACTTGAGTAATTGTAATAATGTCCCTTGATTTTTAGAAGACCTTAAATTTCAGGACACAAACTCTTATTGAAATTAGTCCATTATCTCTGACTTGCATTCAGATATTTTGCAGAAAAGCTAACTGCTTATAATTCTCTAAATGAAATTTTATAACCAGTGTAATTAGATGAGTGTGGGGCAAGGCATTGAGTAGATTCTGCAGAGTTGTACATTGAGACTATTGAACTTCTTCACAATTAATGATTTGAATGAGGCCGTTGATTGAACCAATTACAAATATGCAAGTGATACAAAAGCATGCACAGTGATTTGGGAATTTACACTTTGGAATTTGGATTCTTGGAACCTTCTGCCAACTGTCTTTGATCTAGGCAGGAATCTTGTCTCCAGTTAGATTTTTTAATCAACCTATTCGGACATGTCGTGACACACCTGTGGAGCAGATGGGACTTGAACCAAGGCCTTCTGGCACAATGGTAGAGCACAAGACTGTGCCACGAGACCCTTTTGCTTCCAGTCATCATATAAACCTTCATAAATGTAACCTAGACAAGCTTTTGCGTGCAAGGTTTATTTTTAATGAGACTTTATGTGCATTTTTTAAAGCTGATGGCTAAGCTTTTAAAAAGAATTTGAGTTGTACATGGGCACTATTCATTGACAATGTGAAAAATTACCCAATGTATGCCCTGTCCAAAAATAGCAGGACAAATCCAACCTATTGTACCCCTCTTGATCACCAACAAAGTGATGGAGTGGGTCTTTGACAATGTTATCAAGCTACACCTGCAAAGAAAAAAAACTGCTCACTGACAATCAATTTGGGTTCCATAGGATCACTTAACTTCTGCCTTCATTACAACATTTAGTGATTTAGAAGGTTATGGGCCAAATGTTGGCAGATGGGACTAAATCAGTTTAGTATATCTGATCAGCATGGACGAAATGGACTGAAGAGCCTGTTTCCGTCATGTATGACTCTATGACTCTATTTGTCCCAGCATGGAAAGAAGAGTCAAACTTCGGAGGTAAGGTGACAGTGACTGCCCTTAACATCAAGGCAACATTTGAATTGTGTAGCATTTAAGAGATTAACAAAATTGTAGTCAATGGGAATTGAGGGGAAAATTGTTTAGCTACTACAAAGAAAAATGGTTGTGATTGTCAGAGATCACCTTGGCCCCTGGATATCACTGCAGGTGTTCCTCAGGGTGATGTTCTATGCTGAACCATCTTCAACTGCTTTATCGATGATCTTCCCTTTATCATAAAATCATAGGGCTGGGGGAAAGGGAAATGTTCACTGGTGATTGCACAATATTCAGCACCATACACCACTCCTTATGTACTGAAGCAACTGGTGTCCATATGCAGTAAGGTTTCAGCTACATCCAGGCTTGGCAACTAACATTCGGGCACAAACTGACCACCTCCAGCAAGAAAGATCTAACCATTTCCCCTTGACATTCAATGATGCTACCATTGTTGAATCCCCCACTATCAATATACTGGAGGTTACCATTGACTAGAAGCTGAATGGACCAGTCATAAAATTGCAAGTGGATACAGGAGCAAGTCAAAGGCTAATAAATCAGTGGCGAGTGACCCTCGCTTCCTGTTTCTCCAATGCCTGTCCACTGCTTACAAGGCACAACTCTGGAGTGAAACAGAATGCCTCCTGACTTCTTGGAGATGTGCAGCTTTAGCCACACTCAGGAAGCTTGAATCCGTCCAAGACACAGTAGCTTGCTTAATTAGCACCTCTACATGACTTTAAACATTCAGTTCCTTTACCATTTGCACCGTGTGTGTGTACCATATGCAAAATGGATTACAGTAACTCATCAGGCCTCCTTCAACTAAACTTTCTAAATTCCAACCTCCACAGCCTAAAAGGGGAAAGCCAGTAGATGTTTGTGAACACCATCACCTACAAGTAACCCTCCAAGCCATCCTGATGTGGAACTATAGTTCTGTTCCTTCACTGTTGCAAAATCTTGGAATTCCTTTCTCAGTAGGACTGTGGGTGTTCCTACACCCCAAGGAATGCTGTTGAAAAAAGTAGCTTAACCACCACTTGTCCATGGCAGTTTGGGATGGTCAATGAATGCTGGCTTGGCCACCACCACCTTCAAGCCATGAACAAATAAAGAAAAATCATAGCTGAACTGAGAATTGAATTAATAGAAGTACTGCTACATCATGTGTAGAGTGGTGAGTTGGCCTGGTGAATATTTCTAATCTTTCAAGTAAAGGTAAGGCATTCAGCTTATATTTTG